GGGCGCGCGACACTGACCGTCCGCAAAAGTAGAACCACTCACACAACGTAAGATCTGGCGTTTCTATATTTGGTATGGACAAGACAAGCCATTAAGGACGTGCAGAATATTTCGCAATACCGTGTCGTTTGACCATATGTTTCATATTTTATACAGTTTCAACCAATACTAGTACACTTTTACCTTTATACACAAAAAGTTATTAAGCAATCAGTCACGTATTAAACGCTTTTTATTATACACCTACTTTGTCATGTAATTATAGATATTCTCCAGCCGCATATGTTTATATTATACTTATTTGTAATTATGGAATACATAATTTTAGAATCATTGATCATGCTATTCAAAGGAAGTGAATGAATGGTCATTTAAATATCATCTACAAGACAAGGAATTTACAGAAGAGTCTTAAATCATCTAGAGTAAATTATTTGATGTTTATTATTTATATTTTTAAATATTCCATTGTAAATACAATGGTTGATCTAAGTAATCTTTGATTTTGTTGTTTGGCTTTGACTTTTAGTTTGTAAATAAATTTAAAAATTTGGAAACAAATTTCAAAAATTCCCTTACGAATTATTAAGACCATCCCCGGACCCCAAATGTGAAAACAAATATTTGTAGATTAAAAAAAAAATGTCATTAGCGGGAGTCGAACCCTCATCATCACGTTTGCCGGACGTGTGCCCTTACCGAGAGGCTGTCAAGACATTGACTGTCGAGATTCCTAACGGAAATTTTTCTCACTTCACTTTTTTCATTTGTTAACAGTATGTTTAAAAAATATGTACCGTATAGAAAAGTTTCGTAATTCTTGAGTTAAATTGGTGTTTATCCAAAATTTGAATGATTTAGATTAACACGAGGATTAACTTCAGTTAATTTAGTTCAGCATTTCAAATTTTTTTTAATAAAAATATACCAGCTATATTACTGAGGCCCTTCCTATGGGGCCTCAGTATTGCATTCGAGCAGACGAAAAAATTTTCTTACCCCTACTTTTTAAAACTTTTTTTCCGATCATTCTGAGTCCAAAAATGCAAAAAAAAATTTCGTCTGGTCGTCTGTGTGTATGTATGCTGGCACGATAACTCTAGAACGAAAGTTCTGATTGACTTGCGGTTTTGATTTTCTTGAATAATTACTTCTAACTTAGAACCCTATTGATTTTCAGAATTTTCGGTTCATCCTAACTACTTTAATAACAATTTTCTTAAAATCCGCATATGCATTTCTTATGTGACAATTTTAAGAATTCCAATTATTTATAATGTCAACATTCCTAACATTCTTAAAATTCCATAAATTGCAAACATTCTCTAACGACCTGTCAAACAACAGATGCTGATAGTAAAGGTCAAATTTCTAAGGCGGGTTGCGACCTTTACACCATAGCCATTCTGGAGGCTATTTTTATTCGAAATTAGTCGCCAAGCCTGCCAATTTATGAAAAATATATAAGCAATTTCTTAAAAATTACTTTTTTATAGTGGTGCTAACTTAAGTGTACTACTATTTTGTCCCTAGCCACATAAACACCTTCATCCAATTGACTAGCTCTCTGTCGCAACCCCATGGCCATTTTATTTAGCAGAAAAAAAAATTGATATAATGCTTGGCTGTGCCTGTCAAGTATCAAGATGTCAACTGTGATGTGTGAATGGGCCTTAAATGTCAAATTATTTAAAAATGTATACTTCTTTTGATATTTATTGCAAATAATTTGTAGTTTATCTCAATTCAGGCTTTCCATAAATAAAGGTACAGCAAGACAGATAATTTGATGTTCTTATACAAAGCACTTTTTTATTATATAAGAAAATTTTTATTATACGATTTTGGATTACATATTCAACCAGCGAATTGTAAATAATAATTAGTTACAAAAGTCTTTATTTACATTATATACATTTTTTACATAATTAGTAAACTTCTAGTCATAAATTTGCTCAATAAATAAAATTTAAAAATAAATCTTCTTCCCTTGGTACCGAGGTATTTTGTTGTGTTTTTTATTTTAATTATAAAGTTGTTATTTATTTGTATGTTAAAAGAAGGTCTTTGTAAATTACATTGCTCTGTATAGATCTACTTTAACACAAAAATATAGTTTTGTGGCTATAAGTTGCTATAACCCTCGCTATAACCTTTTGTCGCAAAACTAATAATAATTTAAACTTAGTAAGTAGTATTAATATAACATCAAGTAATTTTTTTAAATAAAGTACATGATTTTAAAACAGAAATAATACTTAAAAAGGGCAGGTTTAAAGAGTATTATCACAAGAAAGTATATCCGTTCTGTTTATTTATCAAGTATTGTTTGAAGTTACTTTTGAATACATTTATTGTTTTTTTTTTTAATTTCTGTAGGCAGTCTATTAAATTTTTTAAACCTTTGATAAAAATTGTATTTTGGGAATTTTAGTGATAGCTTGCCGTACATGAAAGTCAGATTGGCTTCTTGTATTATAGTTGTGATATTGCGAATTATATTGAATTTTTTCTAATAGATCTGATGCGATGGTACTGTCTTTTTATTTTATAAATAAATATCAGTCATGTACTGAACATAATTCTGAACTGAAAGCCAATTTATTTCTTTTAACATAGTTGCAAGACTCATCCTTCTGTCCTTTATTAATAGAATATAAATAGGCGAAGTAAGGAGCCCAAATATTTTACATGAGCAGGCTTAAGAGGTAAAGGGACCAATTATTATTGGTTAAATTGCTCAAACAAGTTTGTAAACCCTAATATAGATATAGAGTGGTTTTAAAAATCAAGGCTTGTGAAAATCATTACATGGTTTAACCTAATTAATGTCAATGCTTCACAAACCAAAAAATTCAACCTCCTAATACTACTATCGGCTTTCGGTCTTTCGTTCCAAGTTAAATCATTTCTCGTTTTTGTTACGCTACGAGTTTACCCTTGTGGGCCTCAGTCTCGATAAGGTGGGAACCACCATTTTAGCCTCTCTCAAATGGTATATGTATTTGAAAACATTATTTGGATATATATTTTTTTATTAATATATTGTTGAATGATTTAAAGTTAACTTTAGTTACCTTAATTAAGTAATTCCGGAATAATTTTTTAATAAAAATATGGTAATCTATATTGTATATCTATTATCTGTAATCTATTATTTGAATGTATTATGAGGTATAGTGAAGCAAATAGCAATGTTTTCCCTATTGTGTATAACATTAAAAAAAAATGCTTCAAACCACCCAGTTTCAAAAATAGAAACACTGTATGGAATTTATTGAATCTGAATCAGTTTTCCAAACTAATACTATGTGGGTGTAAACACATCGATATAATTCAAGTGATGATTTATGTGTAACAAACACGAAACCATACTTAATCTTTATTCAATGCTTATAAGCAATGCTCTATCCAATTTATTTTCACTTTAATCGGGAGGAAATAAGTTTACACAAGAACTCTCGCTTCAGGTTTATACAGTGTTATTAGGAATAAGATCATTAAGGTGGTTCTAAATATACCATACTAAATGAATCTTATACCTTTCACACTACCCTATATTATATACTATTTAAACATAACATTTTTATACGTACATATTTTTAAAAATAAAAATGAATTTCAAAACGACTACAAAATAATATTACAAGCAAACTTGGTAAAGCATAAGACTCATTAATATTTTACTAGACTAGAATTAGAAATAAAAAAAAATGTTCACTCTAACTGATATGCAGAGTCCAAAAAGGGAAAATTTGACAGATCTATCACAGGAAAAAGTCCCCAAGACAAGTTTAAACAACAGCCGTTGTTACTATTGCTGTGTAAACAAGACCTTCGTTACGGCCTAGCCTAAATATAAAAATTGAATGAGTTAATGTATTCAAATCATAATTTGAACTTGATCCAATTTACTTAATGACTAGTAGCTGAACAAGTTCCAACTTAACATGACAGACGCGTTTATGTAAATAAAACCTGATGGTGGATTTTTATAAAGATCGTCCATTTTGCATTTTTATAAAATAGAAAATCTAATTCCCTGGAAAGCAGTTTAAGGAAATATATTTTTTCGTTTTAATGTTTTTCAACTCAACTGTTTGTACTCAATTTGATATTTAAATATACGCCTACATCATATAACAATTTTTAAATTTATACAGAAGAAAGATATATTTTTAGACTTGCCTTTCATTTAATTCCTAAATACATATTTGGTTTTGAACAATTATTCAAAAATTAGTAAATTTTATGACTTCTTGTCATCAACAAAATATTTCTAGTTTTTTTGTACATTTATTCTAAATTTCAGCTGTTTAAAATAATTCGTTTCTAAATGACAAAGTTTTAAAGATTTTTAAATACGTAATCTGTTGATTTTATCCCTTCTTTATTTAAATACCAGTTAAGATATCAAATTGTGGTATTCATTATACAGTTCTTGAACCTTTCCTCTAAACTTTAGTTATATTTAGTTATTGGTCTCGAAGTGATGAATTTTTTTAGCTGGTCATTTAAAATCTATAAATACCTATATATATTTTGAATTAGTCCTCTTAGTATTCAAATACAAGTTTAGATTTTAAATTATGGTCTTCAAAAAAATATTTTTGCGTCCTTTTTGTAAATGTCCAAATTTTTTAAATTATTTTAAATGATTGGTTTCGTAGTGCGAAATTTTTAAGTTGGCTGTCATATCTATACACATACAACTTTTGAAATTATCGCTTCAGTAATGAAATACCAGTAAATATATCAAATTGTGGTTATCATTATACATTGAAATAATTTTACATCCCTCCCGAATTTTTTAAAGCGATAAAAACCCAAAATTTCAATTTTTTAAAACTTCCTACAATGCACGTATCAAATATTTCTGCAAAAAATAGTTATTCCTGTAAAGTATCGCACACAAATTGACTTAATTTACAGAAACAACCCCCAAAATGCACCAAAAAACTAAATTACCCCTTTTAAAAACTTTCCTGCAATGCACTTACCGGATATTCCTGTCGAAAAACTATATATTCCTGCAATGCGTTGCACACAAACAGAAGAAACTCGCGCGCGTAGCGTAGCAGTCGTAGCACACGAGATTTTTTGAATTTATGGAGGAAAAAAAATAGAACTGATGCTGTGCACTGTCTCTTACAGATGTTCCGAAACTTTGTAACCGATATTCGCTTGTTTCTATTCCGAGATCACCGCCAGCTCGAGACAGGCATGCTGATTCGAAACGGAATCGAATGGATACTGAATCGATTCTTTTATATCAACTAATTAATCGATTGCTTTATAAAAACTATAAGATTTCTTAATATAAAGCAAATTGGATTAATATCAGGCGATCTTGGCATCCATAAATTTACAAAATTTTGCTTTGATCGACTTTTGATTTTGATTGATATTTTATTTACTTCTACATAGTGAAATCGGACTTTATTATATTGTAATGAGTAATAAACTTATATATATTTTTTAATTGAAATCAACTTTGTTTTTATAGTTCTATATTGTTTTTATCGATATTATTAAGATTTAATTTTATGTATTTTAACTTGTTTACGTTGTCTGTAAATAGTGAATAGTAATAATTATAATATCAAAGATCAATGTGGAGCGTTAATATTATTTTTTTAACATTATAAAATGAAATAATTGAAGATGTGGTCATCTTAATTAAAGATTAGAAATGGCTCAAAATCACTCCCACATAAATATACTTTATTGATTATAAGACAACCGGTTTCGGCATTTGCCATCATCAGGTCTACAAATGAAAGAAAAACGATGTTGCAGAAATACAACTCATAGACTAAAAGGTTAATAAGCGCAAACAATACTGCGTCAGGAGACATCTCCAACATGAATATTTAAAAAAGCCATACAAAAGTATTGATACAATTTATCAACACAAGCATGACACAAAAGAGTGCAAAATTTATTGTGGGAAATACAAGAAATTCAAAGGTGGGAAAAAATGTGAAAATTAGCAATTAAAAGACAATGGTAAAATGAAAAAAGAAACGTTAAATGTTAACATACATAATGTTATGTGAGCCATTTCATTATTCAGTCATACTCTAATCCTCCAAGTCCCTCTCTGTCTTATTTGGCCTTTGAGGCTTAACTTGTCCGATTATCATACATAATTAAACCCCTTAAGACCAAACATGTGTGACGACTATGGCGGATGCACTTTCGCGAACATTCCTGAGTCAACGTAATAATGTTTCTGGTATATTTCAGATATGAGATGTTTCTATTTTGGTGGAGGATCATTCTGGAATCCAATAATTTGTATATAAATATTGGTGGAGGAACACAGGGAATCAATTATATATGGACAGTGAAGATAAATAGTTAACAGTTTAAAGACATTCGATTAGAATAGTAGTGTTATAAAATAAATAAGTGTTTAAATAAATTATTTGTAAATAAAATGTTGTTTAAAATAAACAAACAGCACATTGGTGTCGAGAAGTGTAATAGTGTAAATAAATAGTGGACAATAATGGCTAAAAAACCGTGTGATTTAAAAGTGACCGACCTACGTCGGGAGTTAGAAGATCGCGTGTTGGAGACGACTGGGAAGAAAGCAGAATTGGCAGAACGACTTAAAGAAGCACTAGAAAATAAAGGTTTAGATCTATTTTCGGATTTCGCTTCTTCTATAATTTCTTCAATTTCCTCCGATATGAAATCCGAAATATCATCTGTGAAAAATGAAATTTCCTCTTTAGATTAGAAACCAAAGTTTCGTCTCATATGACCTCTATGAAAACCGATATTTCTTCTAACATTTCCTCATTAGAAACTAAAGTTTTTTCAGACATTACTTCCTTAGATAGTAAAAGTTCTTCTTTAGAAAGTAAAGTTTCTTCAGACATTTCTTCCTTAGAAGAAAAGATGTTTTCCGAAATATCTTCTATGGAAATTAAAGTCTCTTCTGATATCTCTTCTATAAGAAATGCAATGTCTTCTGTAGATGAGAAAATAAAAGAGATGGAAAAGAAGATATAAGAAATGAAATACGTAGACCAAACCAAGAACGGTGAAATAAAGTGACATGAGGTGGAGTCGAAGTTGAAATTGGAAGGAGCTGTAAACTCTCCTCGTGTTAAAGCCCCAACTTTTGACGGGAAGATATTATGGACGAACTACCTTAAGCAGTTCGAAACAGCTGCCAGAGCAAACGAGTCGTCTGAACGAGAGAAGGCAATAAATTTGACCATCACCCTTCGAGGAGACGCTTTGGATGTCCTTCAGACTATACCCGTGGAAGAGACAGATGATTTTGAACAACTCAAAAAGAGACTTAATATACGATATGCCATGAACACTTGGAGCATTTATACCAGTCACAGTTGAAGAATCGTAAACAGAAACGAGACGAGACTCTTCAGGAATATAAAGTAGATATTGCCAGGTTGGTACGATTTGCTTATCCATTAGCTCCGGAAAACATGATGGAATGTTTGGCAGTCTAAACATTTGTTGATGGACTTCGTGACCACGAGATGAAAAGAACACTTCGTCTAGCCCGTCACAAAACATTGGTCGATGTCTTGTCCGCTGCCCTTGAATATGAGGCAGCTACACAGGCCTCTGGTGGATACAATAAAGTGAGGACCATAAAAGAGGAAGAAGAGGAAGGTAAACTCGATCAACTGGTGGATATGATGAAGAACCTTACTGACAGAAAGATAAAGAGGAAGACTATCAGGTGCTGGAATTATGGTAAACTAGGACAACACGCCGCAGGAAAACTAGAGCGGGTCGTCCTAGAGGCGGCAGCTTCGACCCGAAACCGTTCCAAAGACTCTCTCATACTGATAGCCTCTTTGAAATGTCGCGATGATAGTGTATACCTAGACGGTGAAGTAAATGGTAAAAAGTATACACTGTTGGTGGATACTAGAGCAACTAGGACTATTATACGACCAACAACCATAAATAACCGTAAGAAACTTCTACACAAGATTGCGACTGCGGACTGCCATAGGTGAAAGTGCCAATATCCATGGGGAAATCCAGATTCAATTGGGAATTGGTACATAAAAGTTCACTCACACTGTTATTGTCGCTGATATCGAAGAAGATGTTATACTTGGAATGGATGTAATGAACTTACATGGTTTCCAGTTAGACTTTTAGAACAGAGTGATCAAAGTTGGTGCCGAAGAGGTATTCCTACATCCATATAGGGACATTACCATGCCAGTTGATGTACAGGAGGATATAGTGCTACCTGGCAGAAGTGAAACCGTTATAATAGCACGGCTACAAGAAACTATGGAAGAAGGAACACCTGTCATGATGGAACCTTGGAACCACGATGAAGAGGTTGGACGAGGAATTCTGATCGGAAAGAGGGTGTTCACGACTGCTAAAGAGATTCCATTTCGTCTTATAAACGTTAATGATCACCCAATTACCATTAAGAAAGAGACCAGAATCGAAACTTGTGTACCAGTAACTTCCATAATTCGTCAGACAACAACTTCTGATAATTCCAACGACAAATTCGAGTAAATGATTGCAGTTGCTGGTCAATCTCTGAATCCATTAGAGAAAAAGAAAATCAAGGAATTTTTTCGACGATATCGTGACATTTTTGTACCAAAAGGAGGAAAAACAGGGAGAACTTCTGTTGTAAAATACAAAATTGACACTGGTGACGCCAGGGCGATTCTTCAATCAGCTCGAAGATTGCCAAAGGTCAAGAGAGAAAAAGCTGAAAGGATTGTTCAAGAAATGGAGCAAGACAGGGTGATAGAACCTTCTACCAGCCCATGGGTCTCTCCGGTAGTCCTGGTCCAGAAAAAGGAAGAAACTACAAGGTTATGTGTGGATTACCGTCAGTTGAATAATGTTACCAAGAAAGACAGTTACCCTCTGCCTCGTATCGACGATACCTTGGACACATTGGCCGGAAGTAAACTATTTTCTACCTTAGAATTAAAGTCTGGATATTGGCAGGTGGAAATGGACCCAGTAGACAAAGAAAAGACAGCTTTTACGAAGATCCAAAGAGCTTGCGAAGGTCTAACTGGATGCACGTTTTAATATTGCAAAGTGTTTTTGTTTTGTTTCATAAATTGATCGTGACCTATAGGTATGACGACAAATATAATTTGTTTAAATATCTTATTATGAATTAGAAGAGGCCAATAATCATCCTCGAAGAGTTTATGATGATAGGAAAGATCCTTTCAGACTTTCTGATCAAGCGTTCATCAGATTGTTTCGGTTAATTATATGTGTCTTTTTACTAATATTTTCCATTTTATAACGCTGCAAACAGTACATCAAAAAAACAACCCAAAATCACGACTTCGTGCTCAAATTTTAATAATTGTCACAAAATAAGCGGTGTGAACTTTGACTTCCCTTTCTAGCAGACAATTTAACATAAATAATCGTCGATCATACATGTTTGCCAAGTTACCATTCGCATTTATAAAAGAGGATTACGAAGGATTAAGAATACGGTTTCTAATGCGTCTTCGCATTGAACCACTCGCATCTCTTCAAAGCGAGCGCTTAAACGCACTAGTCGAGGGTTGGTGCCCTGGTCTGTAGACGTCTCTCTGCCATTTCGTGAGGGTTTTCCACAGCTGAATGATGTGTTGTGCTTATTAGAAACTCCACACAATTCGTAAACAGACTCTCATCGGACCACAAGACATGATTTACAAAATCGGGATTTTCATTACACTTTCTAGTGTACCACTCACAGAAGCGCATGCCTCTTGGAAAATCAGTTTACTTTAGTCCTTGAACTATTGTGGGTTTGTATGGATGGTACTTATTCTTATTTAATACTCTCTGTACCGTTGATTTTGACACACCAATTTTCCGTTCTACATTCTACAGTTCTTACTGATGCACTAGGGTTTTCATTGACAGCTTGTAAAATGTTTCTGTCGCCATTTTCATTTTCAATATTGTATTCGTTTCTAGGTTGTTCAAAGGGCCCATGGTTAATTAAATTAACTGCGATTTTTCTAAATTGGGTTTTATAAAGCTGCCGTCGTTAGGGGTACATCTCTAAACTCCTTGCTGAGGTAATGTCGGCGTTTCTGCGTGACTGCAAGTACAGCGCTAATATGTCAAACTATTCTTCATTGGAATAGGGATTACCG